CAGTTGCATATCTGTGACCCGTGACTCACATCCTAGTCCTCTCCTCTGGACAGTTGTCACCTGTCGTAGTGGGTGAAAGCACGCGAACCACCATTATGCTGGGGCCGTCTCTGTCGGGCATGCTATTCTTCTCGGTGCTCGCCGTGCGCGATAGGAAGCCCTCTCCACGTCCTCGCCCGCCAAGTGCACGTGGTCGTTCGTCAGCGGGGCCACGGTGGAGACGAGCTGTTGCGGCTGCCAAGTGCCCCAGTCCACTTCCACAACTCCCATGCCTCCATCAGCTCCTGGCCGTTGCCCATGGTCAATCCACTATTGTGCCGCTGTGTCGGCACCCTTGAACAGGCGAGAGTCTCTTTTCTTCGGTCCGAATCTTCATCGAACGGCACGTCTGCTTAGTCTCATCGCAACTGCGATCTGCCGATGACCCCGTGCCTCGTTAAGTTCTTCTTCCAGCAACCGCCGTTGATCATCGAGTGCTTTTTGCCCCTCCAGCTTCAGTCGTTGGCTGATCCGCCGCAGCTCCTGAGTGTCCTCCTCCTCTTCCACCCCGAACGGAATCAATTGACGTGGTCGACAACCTTCTTGGAATGAGTATCTTCGTCGCCTTGCTGGCTCTGAATTACTTGGGGATATCGGTCCGCGGCCGAAAACGCGTTGCCCACACTCAGATAACACTTTCTCCATGTACAAACAAGAATTGTCGGGGCACGTCTGCGCCATCTGCGGTATCCGAACTCTCTCTCTCTCTCTCTCTCTCTCTCTCTCTCTCTCTGTGGGCCCGAAGCGCTCTTTAACAGCAAACAAGAACTCTTATCGACGTTCTCCGTTTCGAACTGCATCCATCAATTGAAAGCGGAAAACCTGTTGAACTGCACGTTGATCCCATTGCTTTGCCCCACGCAGCGCCAGGAACAAAGGCAAGTGGTCACGCGGGCCTGGCCCTCGCACAGCTTGGAGCTGTCGGCCCAGCTCGTGAAGCGGGTGGCAACGTTCAAGACAGTCCTGCACACTCTGCGCTTCGAAACGAAAGTCTAGCAAGCTACACGCGGTGGGGCCGTAGAACGTGAACTCATGATCCTTCAGCGTGTTCGCCGCCACCATGTGGCGGGTCCCCGCCACCTCTCGCAATAGTTCGCTAGCTCCCCGTCGTCTGGCCTCGCGGGAACGCACTGGGCCCACCGCACTCGTAATCGCCGCATGCAACCTGCCTCCCTCCTTCGTCTCGCCAATCCCGTCGTTCGCATCTACAGAGATGATGGGTTAGCACCGGCGTGGAAGATCCAATCGAACATTATGCACCCACTGCTTCAACACACGAGACGTTTCCATGTTCAGCGCAAGCTCTCTCTTCTTAATCATCACGTCCACCGTACCTTTCTTCAGTCGAATAGCCATTCGGCCTCCCGCCCCAGGAGGGGACGGCCAGGAACGAACAACATCTGTTTCGCGGTACTGTGGACCCAGGGCAATCAAACATCCCGTGCTTTTGTTGGTAAACTTGCCTGGAACGTACCTGCACTCGAAAGCTACTCTTCCCTGAACTCTCCCCGCCAGAACATTCTCGGCCTCTCTCCGACAAACTGCTGCGCCCAACACCCCCACCACGTCCATGCTCTTGGTCTGCAACATTACTTCCTCCAGGCGGGCGCCCCCCGCCCACGTCGGGTTCCAACCCATGGCTCTGAAAATCTCTGGCCGCTAGCTACTGCTGTGGGGAAGGTGTGAGGCCATTTATAAAAGGGTAAGGATTAGCGAGGCTGCTCTGCTAAGGAAGCTTCAGCCCAGACGGCACCTATGAAAAACATGAAGCAGGAAGGCGGATCAACCAGATTGGGCTCAGGCACTCGATTCTTGAAGTAGACAGGCACGAACACAAAACAAAAGCACGTCGAATCCTGAAGTAGACAGGCGCTTGAAGAAGCCTGGGATCTGAGGAATCCAGAAACACCTACTTTCAGCGACCGGCGTGTACTTTCCACGACCGACGGGTCAAACAACAAGACCAACACATATCCGAGGGAGCCCGAGGAGAGCCAGCTGACGCAGGCCCCGGCACCCGCCGACCTCTACCACCAGCAGATGCAGCCCCCTCAGGCAAGGGGGACTCGAGAACACAACCAATACAAGGACCCGGTGGTTCAGAGATGATGAGGTCCCGAAGGACGGCGTCCCACGGACGAGGTACCTCAAACAACGCAGATCCACCGGAGACATGGGGTCCTAAGAGCTAAGGGTTTCAATCAATGTAGATTAACATGAGGGATGTGGTCCTCAGGACCAGGTGCCACAAACAACGTCGCTCCACCCTGAAATCCCTTCCTATCCGTGGGTCCCCATCCATCAAGATCCATCTTTGAACCACCGGTAAATTCAGAACGGCGTGCAATATTGCCTTGTCGCAGTGCACGTTGCTTTGTCGCAGTGCACGCTCGTCTGAAAAACTTGCAACAGTTACATGGATGGGGGACCACCCGTCTTCAACGCGTGGTTTCCGCCTGAGGCTCCACACGAGAGAAGTACAGCAGGAGAGAACGTGTGCTACACTTGCACGGGTGAATGATTGATTCGTTTTCAGCCTGGGGCTTCCGCCAAATACCTCGCCAACAAATACCGCAAGCGCAGCATTAGTCTCGTTCCGTTTCAACTCGGGTCTCTCGCCACGCAGACTGCATGACCAAAAGCTGCGTGGATGGAGGGCGGCTCCTGTTCGAACTGGGGCTATCGCATGATACCTTTTCTCACGTGACGACCACGACTGACAACTTGGCCCAACAATGAGAACTACTGAGAACGGCTCCGCTTCAAAACGGTGCTCCCGCTGGACACCTCGCACCCGTTATCACTCGACCGAAAAACGCAAGTCAGTTCCTTTTTTTAGAACAAAACAAGGATCTCGCCTGAACAGCAGGCCCATGAGACGTTCGTGTTCTTACATGTGGGCTTCTCTTGTAGCAAAAGTACAGGCTGGTAGACTTGTATGGACCTGTGAGGCGGTGCTTCGGAACGGACGAGGGTGCACTGCAGAACTGTGATGGATCTTGGGCTTGCTCTCCCAGTCCTCCTTCTCCTTCTCTGCTCTCCCCCTTTTACCCTCTGCCTCTGCCCCAAGCTATCTTTCTGCTGCCGCTGCGCCTCCTCCTCGTCCCCCTTGTCCAAGACAGGAGAGACGGAGGCCCCGCACCCGAAATAGCAGGAGGGCCCCAACAGGGAGCAGCCTGCCGCGGGCAAAAGGGTGCGAAACCCAGACGAGGCAGACGAAACGGCTCCCCCCTCCTCCTCCTCCACCTCCTCCTCCTCCTCCACCTCCACCACCTCCTCCTCCTCCACCTCCTCCTCCTCCCCCTCCTCCTCCTCCACCTCCTCCTCCTCCTCCTCTTCCTCCTCCTCCCTCCGCTCCCTCACTCCCGCTCTTCCCTGCCCCCCTCTCCCGTCTCCTGCCACCGACCGCCGCTGAGCTGAAGCCTGTGGCTGACGTGCCTCCCCCATTCCTGTTCTGGCCAGATCTGCCGCCGTGCGCCCTGGCACGCTGGGGCACTGCCCCCCGTGCCCCAGTGCCCCTCGAACAGTCGCCGCCCAGAATGCGGGGCTGGCACGGCGATGGTATTTGCCACGGACAGCTCATCATCTCCTCCATTATCCTCCGCCTCCTTATCCGCCTCCTCCTCCTCCTGGCTCCTCGTTCTAAATCCTCCTCCTCCTCCTCCTCCTCCTCCTCCTCCTCGTCCTCGTCCTGATCCTCTTGTTCCGCTCCCCCCTCCTCCCCCCTCCCCTCCTCTTCCATCTTGTGCCCTCACTCCTCCACCCACACAATTCTCCCTACTCCTCACCATCCCCTCCGCCTCACATCTCCCAGTTTGCTCTGCACCGAATGCGCTTCGAGGCGTCGGCATCGTGTTTCCCTGCATCAAACACTCCACGGTGCGCGTCGTCCCATGACGACTCCCTCCACGAAGACGTCGCCCGACCTCCATCCGCGCTTCTTTGTCGTGCTTGGTTCCCTCGCCCTGCGAGATATTCCGCGAACGGGAGGACATGGCGGGTAGGACAACCGATGTGGCGCGAGCGCGCCCAATTTGCGCCCTCCCCTCTACCAATCCCCTGCCCCAACTGCCCTCCACTCGCCCGTTCTCAAACCACATCCCGCCCCCTCTTCCCGTACGCGCCTACGAATGTGAGCGGCGCTAAAATTAGAACCAAATGGTAAGAACCACATGGCACTCGACCCGTGAAGCTGATGGGCATGATTGGATCGTATGTCATACGTGGTCGAGACGTCTCCTACTCTTCCTCCTGCTGAGCCTCCCGCTCATCCACACCCTCTTCCTCCTCCTCCTCCAATTTGCAACGCCCCGTTCTGACTCCGCATCACAAGATCGGTTCGTGTTGGTGCCCAGAGTCCTCTTGGGCACTCCCGTCGGCTTTGGGTTTTGTACTCCGCATGGGATCATGGCACTCCCGTCGGCGGATAGGGCAGAATTCAGGGCACATGAGAAACGATGGATGGGATGGGTAGGGTGCCTGACATACATAGCACGAGCGCACCTGGCCTGTCCTTCGCCTCCTCTCTCCCCTCCTCCATCCCCATCATCATGACGCTAAGTTGGTGGCGCAAGGGGGCCTGTCTTCAGCTCAATCACATGCTTCTTAGTCCACATAGTCCTCCTCCGCCTCCTCCTCCTTCCCCTTGCTTTACTAGATCCCCTCCCTCGCATATCGCTCCTCGCTCATACAGGAGCTGCCGTTGGATGGACCGCAGGGATGGCACAGCTTTGTCAAAGCCGGACAAGACGGTGAAAGGGTAACCAAGTATGGAGGGGCAAGCAGAGAAGAATGCGCATCAACAAGACATGCCGACGAATCGGACTGCTCGTAGCTAAGAGATCCGGGGTGGGGGGCGGATGGGCACGAGGAAGCTGTCTCCCAGGCGGGGTGTTTGAGCATTAGGGTAAGATGACAACATCGAACCGACGACGAGCAAGAGCAGGACGAGCAACGCACTCCTGTATACCTCCAGGAGTGCAAACTGAGTCGGATCTTCCTGCCCACATCCCCTGCCGAGTCAGGCTCAAGCATGATAAAGGGACGGGCGGGCAAGTGTGCAAGAGATTTGTCATGCGTCACCGTGGTGAGGGAAGTGCCGAACAGCAAGAAGGACGGACAAGGGAACGAGGAAGGATGGGACACGAAGGATGTGAGAAGGACGAAGGCAAGGAACATGGACACGGAGCATCAAGCAACAAAATGTGGGAGAGAGGGGAACAACGGAAATACGCACGATGTCCTAAAGATGTTAGACATCATGAACCCACACCGTGCATATAGCAATTTCGGTTGTCCAACGTACACGGCGCCATCTATGTGGAACAATAGACGTAGTGCGATTTAGTGTGCACTAGATGGTGTGCAACATCTGTGAACCTATCTACGTGAACCACCTACGTCGTGCAGCCGATGTGGCGCAATCGATGTGGTACAATATGTATGGTGTAATTGATTTGTCACAAACGAAATGACACACCCCATGCTCTTGCAAGCATCCCACCCACCCACCCGCAACTTGGTTTGCAAAACCCATGCAGTGACGATGGCGATGCATGCTTGGCGTTGGCTGGTGCATCTCTGCGGCCGCGCCAACCCTAGCACGCGCGCGCAGCGGCCAGCTAATTTGGCGCCGCCGACGCGGCCGCGGTGGCGCTGACCGCTTGGCGCATCCCAGCGGGCACTGCACTCCGAGTCGGCAACTTGGGCGGGCGCGGTATAATGGCAACACCGGCAACGGTAGACACAATGATGATAGTAGCGATGCTGGTGACGATGTTCGCACCGACGAAGGCGCGGCCAGTGCGGGCGCCGGTGCTGATCACGCAGACGACGATGACGGCGTCCTCGCGTCGGTGATAAAGATTTTGGAAAGAATTCGGCACGCGCACGGCCGACGCGCGGAAGTGGCCCGCATGGTTTTATTCAGCACGGATCGTGCACCCCCCAGCACGCGCGCAAAGGCGTTCGATTGATGACGGCATGCGGCGTCAAAGGCCCGTTTGGCAGAATTCCGTGAAACTTTTTTTATATCTATATATATATATATATATATAACCCCCAAAAAACATTGTTTCTAGAAATCGCAAGAGCGCGCGCACGGTTTTGTTCAAAACTGATGTTGCGAAACCATATGGTTTTGACTATTTGTTTGGCATCCTTTTTTGAGACTGCTACGACACCGGAGGTTTTTGGAAGATTTCGGCATGCGCGCACAACGACGCGCGCGTGTGCACTTCGTCGCTTTTTTGCACAGGATTCTCGCGACAGCACGCGCGCAACGGTTTTCGAACGATTTCGACATGCACGCACGAAGCCCGTTTGGTAGCATGTTCTGAGCATGTTGAACAACATATGGTGTTCCTAAACATCCGCAAGAACGCGCGCACGCTGTTTTGACAATCCGTGTTGCGAAACCATGTGTTTTCTATATGTGGTTTGGGACACTCGATCTTGAAATCCATCCGAAACTCAAGGTTTTTGAAAGATTTTGGCATGCGCGCGACGGCGCGCGCGTGTGCACTTCGTCTCACTTGATGCAAAGGATTCTTGAAAGCTGGTAATTTGTGATAAACGCGTGCGCGCGCATAGTATGGTTTGCAGAGTATGGCGGGGAAGGTCGAGCCTGGCTTGGCTGGAATGCTACGGCTTCCTATTTAGGATGGGCAATGGGGCAGAATCGTCTGAAGTTGCACCACAAGGTGTACCGATAAAGCCGGGGGGGGATAGAGTCGATTCTCTCCTTGGGAGAATCTATGTGGTGCGGTCAATCAATTGCTCAACTTGAAGCTGTCCTCTCCACTGCTCGCGCAAACATCCCACCCTCCCACCCGCAACTTGGTTTGCAAAACCTCTTAAGACCGACTACGACGACACCGACGACAACGACGACAACGACACCGACGACGTCTCCGACGACTCCGACGACGACAACGACGCCGACGCCGACGACGACGAAGACGACGACGACGACGCCAACGAAGGCGACGACGAGGGAGGAGGAAGGACGACGACGGCGACAACGACGGCAACGACGACAACGACGAGGGAGGAGGGAGGACGGCGACGACGCGAACGACGACGAAGGAGGAAGGACGGCGACGCCGACGACGACAACGACGAGGGAGGAGGGAAGACGACGACGACAACGACGACGACGACGGTGACGAAATAGAACCGACGACGAGACGCCGACGACGGACGACGACGACGACGTGGGAAGAGGCGGAAGGACGACCACGGCGACAACGACGACGGAAACGACCACGACGCCAAAGAGGACGACGACGACGAACACGAGAAAAGACAGAGGACGACGAGGCGACGACGACGACGACGCGGGAGGAGGGAGGACGGCGACGACGGCGACGACGACGACGACGACGACGCAAGAGCGCGCGCGCACGCTTTTGTTGAAAATTCGTGTTGCGAAACCTTGGGTTTTTGGATTTTTTTTGGACGCGCGATTTCGAAATCCTTCCGAAACCGACGGGTTTTGAAGGTTTTCGGCGGCCGCGCGCGACGACGCGCGCGTCTGCACTTCGTCCCATTTTTGCTGAGGATTCTCGCGACGGCACACGCGCAAGGGCGTTCGACAGATTTCGACATGCGCGCGCGCGACGCCCGTTTGGTAGCATTTTGTGAAAATCTTGAAAAGCCATGGTTTTCTTAAGATTTCGCAAGAGCTCGCGCGGAAGTTTTTTTAGCAAATCAGTGTTACGAAACCCTGTGTTTTTGTATGTGTTTTGGAAGCTCGATCGCGAAATCCTTCCGGTACCGAGGGTTTATGAAGGATTTTGGCATGCGCGCGCGATGACGCGCGCGTGTGCACTTCGTCCCATGTTTTGCAAGGGATTCGTGAAAAAGTGCTATGTTAGAACAAAAAATGTCACCGCATAGTGTTGTTTTACAAAAGAACCTCAGGGGGGGAAACCGGTTTGGCTGGGATGATCTGATTTCATATTTAGGATGGACGAGTGGAATCATATATTATTTACATACCCGAAAGGGGAGCGGATAAGTCCGGGGGGGGTAGAGTCTATTCGCCTTTTAGAAAGGAGACTCCGCTTTGACTGTCTTGAAGCTGTCCTCTCCGCTGCTCGTGCAAACTTCCCACCCACCCACCCGCAACTTGATTTGCAAAACCTGTTCAGACCGACTACGACGACACCGACGACAACGACTAGGACGACACCGACGACGTCTCCGACGACTTCGACGACGACAACGACGCGACGCCGACGCCGACGACGACGAAGACGACGACGACGCCAACGAAGGCGACGACGAGGGAGGAGGAAGGACGACGACGGCGACAACGACGGCAACGACGACAACGACGAGGGAGGAGGGAGGACGGCGACGACGCGAACGACGACGAAGGAGGAAGGACGGCGACGCCGACGACGACGACGACGAGGGAGGAGGGAAGACGACGACGACAACGACGACGACGACGGTGACGAAAGAACCGACGACGAGACGCCGACGACGGACGACGACGACGACGTGGGAGGAGGAGGAAGGACGACCACGGCGACAACGACGACGGAAACGACCACGACGCCAAAGAGGACGACGACGACGAACACGAGGAAAGACAGAGGACGACGTAGGCGACGACGACGACGACGCGGGAGGAGGGAGGACGGCGACGACGACGACGACGACGCAGCGCGCGCGCGCACGCTTGTGTTGAAAATCCGTGTTGCGAAACCTTGTGCTGTTGTAGGTTGTTTGGACACACGATTTTGAAATCCTTCCGAAACCGATGGGTTTTGAAGGTGTTCGGCATACGCGCGCGACGACGCGCGCGTCTGCACTTCGTCCCATTTTTTGCAGAGGATTCTCGCGGCGGCACACGCGCAAGGGCGTTCGACAGATTTCGACATGCGCGCGCGCGCGAAGCCCATGGATAGAATTTAGTGAAAATCTTGCAAAACCTCTGGTTTTCTTAAGATTTCGCAAGAGCTCGCACGGAAGCTTTTTTAGCAAATCAGTGTTACGAAACCCTGTGTTTTTGTATGTTTTTTGGAAACTCGATTGCGAAATCCTTTCGGCACCGAATGTGTTTGAAGGATTTCGGCATGCGCGCGGGACGACGCGCGCGTGTGCACTTCGTCCCAGTTTTTACAAGGGATTAGTGAAAAAATGCTCGTTAGAACAAACCATGTCACCGCATAATGTTGTTTACAAGGGAACCTCAGGGGGGGGGACTCCGGCTGGCCTGGGACATTATGATTTCATATTTAGGATGGACATGTGGTCAGAATCATTTGTGATTCACATACCCGAAGGGGGGACCGATAGCGCTGGGGGGGGGTAGATCCTATTCTGTTTTTAGATAGGAGGATACAAATGTGGTCCAATATCTGTGAAGCAGTCTATCTTATTAAACCTGTGGTCTTCGGTGGAGCTCCCTATGGGGCCACGAAGCGTGTGAGGTGTGTGCGAATGCGAACCCTGCCACTGGGGCCTTCGGTGGAGCTCCCTATGGGGCCACGAAGTGTGTGTTGTGTGTGTGAGTGTGTGTGTGTGTGCCGAAATTGACGGGGGGACGCATGCGAACCCTGCCATTGGGTTGAGCCTTCGTTGGAGCTCCCTATGGGGCCACGGAACGTGTGAGGTGTGTACCGAAATGGGCGGGTGGACGCATGCGAACCCTGCCACTGGGTGAAGCTCCCTATGGGGTCACGAAGCGTGTGAGGTGTGTGCCGAAATGGAGCAGGATGGAGGACGGAGTCAGCACGACTGAGAGCAGGATGGAGGATGGAGGGGGAAAAGGAGGAAGAGGAGAAGGGGGAGGAGGAGGAGAGGAGGAAGGCGAACGCTGGGCGCTGTCTCTTCAAAACGAGGACCCAACACCACAGGATGGTTGGGCGCAAGGGGGGGAATATAGGAAAAAAAGTTACACCCCACACACCTTACACATCGGACACCGTGCCCCCTGGCACGTTGAGGCGCAGTAGAACGCGAAATGCTGCCTGGCGGGGATTCTCAGATACTCCAGGGGACCAACCGATCCCGGTCACACCCAGACCAGATGCCGCCAAGACGACCCAAGCTGGCCCCAAGACGTCCCAAGATGACCTCGAGATAACCAAAGAGGCCCGCTAGAAGGCTCAAGAGGGCTGCAAGCGAACCCCACGGAGGGTCCGAAGAGGCCCTAAAGCAGTGGCGTGTCCTTTTTGACTGTTCTTGGAACGAACTTCGTCTTGATTGGCTTCGAAAATTCCGTCCGCCGACGACAGGCGGCCCAGGAGGTCTCCAAGATGGTCTCGAGACGGCCCAAGATGCTCTCCAAGGGGGCCTCAAGGTAGAACCAAAGGCCTCCGAGATGACCAAAAGAGGCCGCAAGACTGTCCAAGAGATCCCCAAGACGACCCTTCAGGGCCCCAAGATGCCCCAAGACAGCCCAGAGAAGGCCCCAAGACGGACTCCGCAGGCGCCATACTGCCCAAGAGCCCGTTAAGACAGCCCAGGGAGACCCCAAGAGGAGTCGAGGCGGCCCCCAAGCAAGAGGCCGCCAGACGTCCACAAGAGGCCCCAAGAGAGGGGGAGAGAAGAAGAGGAAGGAAAGAAGGCGACGACAAACACGAGGAGAGCCACCGCGACACGAAGCGGAAGATGTCAGAACACGGTGTGTGACACATTGCGCTTTCCCGTGTGCTCCTCGGACAGTCGCAACTCAGAATGATGGGCTTGCAGGGTAGCGGGAGTTGCCGCTGGCAGGTGGATATACAAGACGCTGGCCAGCCTCCATTCTGAACACACGGAGAAGCAATTACGACCAGACCGAATTATTATAAAAGTACCTCTCGCCTTGCACCGCTGAGTATAATTATCTCAGCTGTTGCGCACTCCACGTCTCTCTGTCTGAAGGCGCAAACAAAAAAAACATGTGCTCCTCTGGTTCGTCAGCTGGTACGCACGGAATTCATCCAGCTAGGCCAAAGGCATGCCGATCCTCCAAATGAAAGCGTACTCCTTTGACCCACCCCTCCGTAGACTGCAGGAAGTCGTAACGCTGGCACCACTCCTCGAAAAAAGACTTGCGGCAATTTGCCAACGTTGCCTCAATGAACTCCTCCTCGCCGCCAGCCTCGCGACGACGGACAGGCAGGCATGCAGGCAGAACGACAGACGACGGGACAGGCACACGAGATATCCCCAAGTCAGCCACGATGCCAGCAACGCGCAGTGCGTGGTGTGTGGTAGTGTTTGTTAGCTGCCCGACGAGATGCCTGTAGCTTTCCCGGGGCGCCTCCTCGCGGCGAGCCCATGCAGACACTCGACCACCGACGGCGCCCTGCAGGGCCCCAAGACGGCCCGCGACTGCCCCGTGATGGCCTGCAAGGTGCCCACAGGTCGACCCAAGGCGGCCCCAAGAGGCATCCACGCGACCCGCCCCGACGGGGGCCGGCACAAACCCAAAGACTGCCCGTCGACTCCACCAAGACGGAAAAGGCCCGAGGCTGCCACGGGACACCCGCTAGGCAGCACGGCGACTCTCCAAGAGTGTCCCCCCAGAAGGCGGCCGAGAAGAATTGCCCGCGATACCTCCCCACCGACAAGCTCCATGACATGCAATCAGATATCCACCCCTTCCCCCAGACCTGTCAAAAACCTCAAATATTGTCCCGGCGAAACTCCCAAGAAACCCTCCAGCAGCCGTTAGTGATGCCCATATCAGCGATGTCAAATGCTAGAATGCGGATCCTGAAAAAACAAAGCAACACCTCTGAAGGACATCCACATGGGAAACGAGCTGCTAAATGTTACAGCAATTCGGTACCTGGGGAAGGACAATTACACATGCTATAAGCCCTTGTCTGGACACCGACATGCCACATGTTACAAGTGGCTCGAACATGTGGAAGAAAGTGTCATACAACAGGTGCCTTGAGCCCAGGGACGAAAGCTGCCACAAGTACAACATTATGGGTAATTATATAAGAGTGTCGACGCACACAGCGATGTGATGGCACAGAAGGGAACTTACCGCAACCACGGCGTATATGCAGTGCCAGAACTTTGCAATCGTAATGGCGAAGACGTGGGACTCCGAAGCATGTGTTTTGGGGCTGCAGCCACACTCGACAGTCTCCAGCGCACACAGCGTCACAAGCGTTAGGCCACAAAGCGCCGAGCAAAGGCGACAGTATCGAATGCTACTGGAATCGAGGATTCATCCCATCTCACCTCACCGCTGCCAGTCCCCCTTGCAACGAGGAGAGCTGGACCCCGCACCACATTGGTGGGTTTGGCAAATTCTTTGTTGGCGAAGGCACGCATCAATGCCCTCTTGATCTTCACTGCGACGCTTCAAGCCGACCCGGCACCCATGATCCCCGACTTCGCCGGGTAGGGCTAGCACTGTCGGCAGTTGGTCCAGAGCTTAGTTCATATTCTTGGTGCCTTTTGGTCCCCGTGCGAGGTGCTAAGCAGACCGCCCCATTTGGAGACTTGCTGGCCATCATGGTAAACATCCGCGGGCAAAGGACACAGGCGCGCCCTCGTGCTGCCCGTCGGGTTGCCTCTCTCACTCCACCTTCTGCACCTGCCACGGTAACTCTTTTTTGTGTTGCGCATGGTCTGGCGGATTTCGGCAAACAGTGTCGCACGCGCAAGGGAACCAAGATTGTCGCAGTGAAGGCAGAGTTTCTGAATTCTGTATGCCCCCAATAAGAACAAGCATCTGGTCATGTTTTCAGGGTTCTTCAAGGGCGACGTTTGAAGCTCACTGGCGGTGGTCGATCAGTGTCATAACATCCTGCACAGCGAATCCCTGGACTTTTGGTTGTGCCGGTTCTGCGGATGCGATGGCCAACTGAGAATTCAGAGCCTAACTTAGGAATGTTCCACCCGCCGTTTAACCAGGACGACTTGGCAATTCCTCGATCGGATTGCAATTAAAAAAACAACTCGTTTCGCGGCGTCTTCTATCTTCTGCTATATCCCACTCCTCCTCTCCCTCCTCGTCCGTCCTCTTCCCCCCTCCTCCACCCCCATTCCACACCTCTCCATGGTCCGCCTCCTCCTCCTCCTCCACTTCCACATCCTCCGGAGCCTCCAGATACCTAGTCGTCCCTCTGCCTTCTCGATATTCGTCTTCCTCCCAATCCACCTTTTCCCTCCTCCTTGTTCCTCC